CTTTTATAATTGTATTTTATAAATAGATTTTGATACTTTTATAAATGGTGTTTTTTTAATCTTTTTTTTTTGTGGGAACATTTAGGTTGTACTCTCTTAGCAATTTCAGTTATACAACACAGTGTTATCGGCTACAGTCACCGTGTTTTACGTTTGATCCTCAGACCTTGTTCATCTTATAGCTGAGCGTTTGCACCCTTTTACCAACCTCTCCCAATTCCTCTACCCCCAGCTGCTGGCAGCCGCTATTCTGCTCTCTGTTTCTATGAGTTTGACATTTTTTTTTAGATTCCACATATAAATGATATAAATGGTGTTTTAAATTTTATTTTCCAGTTATTTGCACTAATGTGTAGAATATTCCATTGTTTTTTGTACATTGACCCTGTACATTGACACTGTTGCCCACGGTGTCATAAATTCTAGGAGTAAATTTTCTGTCATAAATTTTCTAGGAGTTTGTAGGTGCCTTTGGATTTTCCACATACTCATGTCACCTCAAGTAAAGTCCACTTTACTTCTTCCTCCCTGAGCTGCGTGCCTTTGCTTCTTATTCCTGCCCCACTGGCCCGTCTGGAGCCTCGGGGTGAGAGTGGAACCCCTTAGCCACATCAGCTGTGGGTTCTCACAGAGACGCTCATCAGACGGAGGACGTGCCCTCTGTTCCTTGTTTGTGAGCATTGTTTTCTTTCTCTCTCTTTTTTTAATCATGAATGACATAGAATTTACCAGGTGTTTTTCCTGTCTATTGAGATGATCATGTTATTCTGTTCCTGTGGTGAAGGCATTGACGGCTTCACGAACTAGAGACGAGCCTTGCATTCCCTCATTATCGCTCAGTGTCCACAGTCTGTGAGACAGCATCTTCATTTTATTTTTAACGTTGGCTACTCCCCCTGCCCCGATCTGTCTCACCAGAGTTCTGTCGCTTTCTTCAGCTTTTTCAGAGAAACGACTTTAGGCTGTTGAACTTACTGTATATTTTCCATTTCACTTGCTTTTGCTCCTACCTTAATTATTTGAGTTTGTTCTTTTTCTTGAGCCAGACGGTTGGCTCATTAATTTTCAGCATTTCTTCTTTTTAATACATACATTTAAGAATGTCAATTTCTCTTTATTTTCTACATTAACTGCATCTGAAAATTTTGAAGTGTAGTACTTTGGGTATCATTTAATACCAAAATTAATATTTGTTTAATATTTTCTAATTTTCGTTATAATTATTTCCTTGATCCCTGAGTTATTTAGAAATTGATTTCCTACAATGCGTTAGCATCAGGTTTATAGTTAGCTTTTATTTTCATGTTAGCGTAACTGTATCTTGATCAGAGACTGTTGTCCATGTCACTTCAATACTTAGACATTTGTGAGGTCCCTCATGTGGTCAGTGCTCCTCGGCACTTGAAAAGAATGTGTGCCCCGCGTTTGTTGGGAATCACAAGTGGGGTCAGGTTTGTTTATTGTCTTGTTCAAATCTTTCATATTCTTGCTGATTTTTTGGTCTGCTTGTTCCATCAATTATTAAGCAAAGTGTAATAAGAATCTTTGGGAATGCATCAGTTTCTTAGAATTCTGTCATTTTTGGTTTATATTTTTTCACACTGCTATTAACTTTATTTTCGTTAGAATTTACGTGGTGTATCTTTTCCTTTCAATCATTCTCTAATCTTAGGTTTTAGATATCTTTCTTCATAAAATTTGATTTTTTAAATCCAGACTGACAAGTGTCTTTTAACCAATGCATTTAACGTTTACATGTAATGTATCATGTGTATATGTGGATATAGATTCTGTAGTAATCTATTGTTGCATAACAAATTACTCCAAAACATAATGGCTTAAAACAACAAGCACTTATTATCTCACAGTTTCTGAGGGTCAGGAATCTGAGAGGGGCTTAACTGTGTGGTACTGGCTCCCGGTCTCTCATGAGGGTCAGTCAAGATGCTGACCGAGGCTGTGTCATCCAAAGGCTTGGCTGGGCCGGGGGTCACTTCCGCGGTGGCTCACTCACACGGCCGTGGGCTGGAGGCCCGAGTTCCTTGCCTGCATGGACCTCTCCACAGGGCGGCTTGAGTGACCTCACAACGTGGCAGCAAGCTTCCTCCAGGAGTGACTTGGGAGACCAACCACTGGAGTCACCAGGTCGTGTATGGCCTAGCCTGAGAAATCACACTCCATCACTCCTGCCACGATCTGGTGATCACATACGCCAGTCCTGATACAGCGTGGGAGGAACCACACGAGGCATGGACACCAGGAGGCAGGGGTCATTGGGGCTGTCTCGGAGCCTGACAACCACAGTATCTGTCATCTGCTGAAATTTCATGTCTGTTTATCCCATCCATTCCATGTTCCTTTTTCTCTTTGTTCTTGCCTTATTTTGGATTGATTTTTTTTTCTCATTTCAGTTTTCCTTCCTCTAGTTTGGAGGTTGTACACTCTGTTTCTCGTATTTTAGTGGCTGCCTAGAAATTGCTAGTTGCATGCTGAAGTTATAGGAGTCTAAAGTTAGGAAAATCATACTTTTACCCCCACCCGGACGACACAGTGACCTCCACGCTTGGAAAGCTTGCAGTTGCCCCTCCCCCGACCTCCGGCTACTGTTGTCATGCAGTTTCCCTCTGGGTTTCTAACCGCCACTAGACATCATTATTCCCATTGCTTATACAGACAGTGGTTTCTAGATTTACCACGTACCTTCCCCTTGGCTCTTTACCCCTACATGTCTGAGACTTCCAATATTGAATGACTATTATTCTGTTCAAGAATGTCCCTTAGGGAGGACCTGGAGGTGGCACACTCAGATTAGTGTTTGGTCTATAAATGTCTTTTTCCCATTTATTCTTGAAAGAGAGAGATTCTCTGCAGAAGGAGCCCAGATTGACAGCCATTTCCTCTCAGCACCTGCTTTCATACTTTATGCCCCAGGTTTGGTGATTTTCCCCAGAGGGTGGGTCTGGATCCCAGACCACCAGTTCCTGAGCACACCCACCTGCTTCGGGGCCGCTGCTGCTCCCTGTGCACCCTCTGCCTCCCCATCTGGCCTCTTTCACCCCCGGGATGCACAGATTGCTGCTCTCCTGCTTCTCAGCCCCCTCGGCCCCCAACCCTAAATAGGCCCAGGGCCCGGGGCTCAGGCCCCTCCTTCCCTCATCGCACTCACAGCTTGCGGGTGGGTGCAGTGCCTGGGGAAGTCCTGGCACCGGCCTGTGTGCTTGGCCGGCAGGTGCTCCTGGGCTCCAACACACTGGCCCTCACTGCAGACACCTGGTCCTGTCTTCCTTAGCTTGCGGCTACCCCAGCCTCCGTCCTCTGGCCCCACACTGGGCCCTGTTTAGCCCTGGATGCATCAGTGGGCAAAGGGTTGCCCCCCAGAGCTGCCACCCTCGGCCGCTGAGCCTGCTTACCGATGTAGGCCAGCACCCAAGCCCAGGCCTCCTGCCTCCTGCACCCTCATGTGCCACACAGGCTCTGGCGTGTCCTGTGGGCCAGGCTGGTGCCAGCCCCTCAGGGAGGCCCTGTTCCCGGGCTCTGGCTCAGCATCTGCTCGAGGCTCCAGGAAGCTGTGGGCTGTTTGGCATAGGTGCTGGGTGGCCCTGATCCCACTTACCCCACCCAGACCCTACCCGGACCCTGAGGAGGAGTGACTCAGCCCAGGCCATTGGCAGTGGGGGGCTCTGGCAGGCGTGGTGTCCCAGCCTGTGGCAGGCCGTTGCTGGCTGGGGAGTGCCCTGGCCCTGAGGCAGGAAAGCCTGGGGAGCCCCCATCCTCTCCTGCCCTCACAGGCTGCAGCAGGCATGCTGCCTGGCCTTCCCGGGCTGGGGCAGCCCCAGGGCTGACTCACGGGCCTCAGCACAGGCCCACCCCACCCCCTGAGGAGGGCTGGCCAGAGACCAGCCTGGGGGATGGCCATGGAGCAAGGGGAGTGGCCAGAGGCCTGGAGCACGAGGATGGAGGCCTGTGGGAGCCTGGCCGAGGCCCCAGCCACTTGGAAGGGCACACAATCCCACCTGCCTGCTGGCCTCACCCGTCCTGGGGTGTCAGAGGAGCCGTGTGAAACTCCGCGTGAAGCAGCAGCTTCCACAGAGGGGGTGGCCTGGCATGGGGTGGCCTGGCAGTATGTAGTGCCTGCCCACTCTCGCCTGTCACGGCCACTGCTGGGCTACCCATCTGCAGACCCGCCAGCCACAGTACCCCGACCAAACAAGGTCACCACCTCCTAGTCACCAGGCCAGTGTCCTGGAGGGGTCAGCACAGAGCCCAGCCTGTGGGTGACGTGGATGGCTCCCCCAGGGTGCCAGTGCACCCCAGGAGGCCAGTGGGCAGAACAGCCTTGCCCAGGGCCCAGGCCTCACCCGTCAGCTCTTGGTGGAGCCCCGGCCCTGATACCCTAGTCTCCCTACAGAGCTCCTCCAGCCGCTGACCCGCCTGGGCTTTTGGGTCCTGGTCCGGCACACTGGCGGTGGGCATAGCTGGCTGTAGCCCCACCCTTGTCTCTTGGCATTCAGCCCCATGCCCACGGCCCGTCTTGGTCCTGGCCCAGTGGACAGGGCCTCAGCTCCAGGGCTCTGAGCTCAGGCCGGCCGAGGTGGGCGGTGCTGCGTCCTTCTGGGCACGGCCTGTTGTAAGGAAGGCCGGGGTGGGTTAAGGGCTAGGGGAAGAGCTGGACCAAGTGGCCCCTGTTCAGGCACCAGGGGAGGCCCAGGGGAGGAGGCAGGCTGGGGGCCAGATGGCCGCATCTCTGCAGTCCCTGCCGATGCCTAAGCCCTGGAACCATCAGCCTCTGTGGTCTGCAGGTGTCCTCCACCCTGGCCTCCTGAGCAGGGGCTGAGGGATGGCCCAGGGGCTCTGGGTGGGTGCTGGTGGCCCTGCTTCTGAGAGAGGGTGCCCAGGCTGGCTTTTGAGGGAGGCTTACGAGTGCTGACGGGCTGTAGGCTCCAGGGAGCTTGAACTTGTTTGTGGCTTCCTACGGCAGGCCCCTGCCTGCCTCCCCACAGGTGGAGGACCAGGGCTGCTGCCCCATGCCCACCTGCTCTACCTGCTGGGACCTCAGGGGTCAGGGAGCAAGCAGAGGGGCGTAAGGGCAGATGAGCAGAGCTCATCTTCAGTCCCCACAGCCTTCACCCCAGAGGCACGCTGCTCCTGGGACCCCACCTCTTGGCCTTGAGTGGAGGTCTGGGATTTTCAGAGAACTGGGGAAAGAGCAGTGGGGTCTGTGCGGGAGAGGTGGGCTTGGGAGCCAGCTGGGACTGGACTTCCAGCTAGGTGCTGGCCTTGCAAGGGGTGAGGGCAGCCCTGAGGTGGGCGTGCCCTGAGGTGGGCATGCCTGAGGGAGCACAGTCTCCAGCAGGTGGGCATAGTCTCAGGGACTGTGAGTGTGGTTGGGGTGTGGTCTTGGGGCAACAGGCATGGTCTCTGGGGCCAGTATGGCTGATCTAGGGTGGTGAGTGTGATTTCATGGACTGATGGTCGCGGTCTGGGGGCTTCAGTGGGTGTGGTTTGGGGCAGGTAGGTGAGATCTGGAGCAGGTGGAGGTCTGGGGTCGGCACGCGTGGTCTTGTGGCTGGTGGGCATGGTCCGGGCAGGTGGACATGGTCTCGGGGATGATGGGTGTGGTCTGGAGCAAGTGGGTAGGTCTGGGGCAGGTGGACATGGTCTAGGCAGGTAGGCATGGTCTGGAGAAGGTGGGGGTGGTGGGAGTGGTGGTCGTGGTCTCATGGCCTATTCGTGTGGTCTGGGCTGGTTGGCATGGTCTCGGGTGGTGGGTGTGGTCTCGTGGCTAGTGGGCGTGGTCTCGTGGCTGATGGGCATGGTCTGGGCAGCTGGACATGGTCTCAGGGGTGGTGGGCCTGGTCTCATGGCTAGTGGGCATGGTCTGGGGCAGGTGGGTGCAGTCTGGGCAAGTGGGCATGGTCTGGGCAGGTGAATATTGTCTCAGGTGGTGGGCGTGGTCTAGGCAAGTAGGCAAGGTCTGGAGAAGGCAGGGGTGGTGGGAGTGGTGGTCATGGTGTCATGGCCAGTTGGCGTGGTCTGGGCAGGTTGGCATGGTCTCCTGGCTGGTGGGTGTGGTCTGGGACAGGTGGGCATGGTCTGGGCAGGTGGGCACAGTCTCCGGCTGGTGGGCGTGGACTGAGGGCCTCTCTCTCTCCCCAAGGGCTGCCAAGGGAACCCCCAGCGTCGTGCCTAGTGTGCTGTGGCTCGCTGCCGCCCGCCTGGCCCTGCAAGCGCTGCCGCTCCTTCTGCAGTGCCGTCCCACGGGGCGCCTGCTTTGTGCCCCTTGGCAGTGGGCCGGGCGGCGGCCCATGGACCCCATGAGCTGAGGACCAGCACGGCCCAAGGACCAGGATGGGGACAGATGTGCCCAGCCTCCAGAGTGTGGCTTATTTCTCTGAAATCTCCACGTAGATGAGGGACCTTGTATACAGAGCTATTTTAGCGAAACTGTGAGATCTTCACCATGGTATTTCTTGTGAGCCCCAGCCTGTCCCGGTGCCCACGCCCCATGCCCGCATCCCATACACCCACGTGCCTTTCACCTCACCACCACATCCCTCACCCTGTACCCCGCCCTGGCCACAGGAGGACGCCTGCCGTGGGCAGATGAGAACAAGACGCCTCCTGGCACCCGGCTCCTCCCCAAGGTGCCCCCGCCCCTGGAGCCGTCCCTGCTGGACGGTGCCCCTCCTTGTCCCCCAGCTGGAGGTCCCGGGTCATTTACTCACTCGTTTATTCAACAGAATCTCACTGTGCTGCTCCAGGTTCTTTGCACCCAAGTGTCTCCTTCCAGCCTGGCGCTGAGCAAGGGGTGTGAAGGGGGTGCCTGCCCTGGGTCAGACCCCTCAGGTTCCACCGCGGTGGGACTTCTGGGCCTTCTGGCTGTCAGTGGGCCACAAGGGCTATGGAGACCTGGTGGGGGGAGCCCCTGCAGCCTCTTCAGGCTCAGGCTGGGGTGTCCCAGCCCCCACAAGCCTGCATGGAACAGGGCGGCCTGTGAGGAGTGGACATTGGGAGGGTCCATGGCCCCCAGCTCTCAGAGACAAGACAGGAACCCCAGGGCCATCCCCACCATGCTTGTCCCTCCCGTGAAGTCATGTGGTTGGGTCTGCTGTCCGCTTCTAGTCATCTGCGGCCCGTTGGTACAGGAATGTCACGTTCAGGGCACCAGATGTGTCACCTGGTTGGTAGGCCCGTCCTGGGGTGACCACGGAGAGGGGGCTCGGGGCGTGAGTGGGCCCACAGGAGTGTGTCAGGCTGTGTGGGCCTCCTTGCTCTGAGGAAACACGGTGCCCACGGAGTCATTTGGTACTCCTGTTCCCACCTGTCACCTCGATTGTAAGAAAGCAAGTGTAGTGCTTGCTCCAGCCCTCCAGGCTGATGGAGCCAGGCCCACGTGCTCCCCCTGCCTGGCCCGGAGGGCAACTCCTGGCCCGTGGAACATGAACCCCTTGGGGCAGCATATTTTCTTCTAATCACCCCATCTGCCTGACCCAGAGGCCGAGGGTGCCCTGAGTCTGAGGGCCAGACTGGGGACAGCAGTGGGACCAGTGCCTGGCCTTCCTGGGCCACCCCTCAAACACGCCGGCCTGCTGCCACTGTGCCCCCCGGTGTGGAGAGGCATCGGGCTCTCTCTCCTGGGCACTGTGGCCACAGGTGAGCACTGCAGAGGGCAGGGCTCCATCCCCATTTACTTTGCCTCCCCGGCAGCATGGGATGGGGTGCCGAGAGCCCAGCAGTGACCATGGAAGTCCAGCCCACACATGCTCTAGCCCAGACGGGGGCAGGGTTGAGGCTGGCCCAGGAGGGAGGGAGGCTGGGCAGTGGGCTCTGGCGTAGGGGCTGGGGTCCATGGTCGTGGGTGATGTCTGCCAGTGGGTCCCATCCTCTGGGGCTGAAGCGTCTGCCTCGGGCCTGAGTCCACTTCATGGAGCGCTCGGGCTCACATGAGGGCCCCAGAGGTGGCCCGGCAGCCAGTGGGGCTGTGTCTATACCAAGGGTGCTCCAGGGACCCATCTGCCCAGCATGCCCGGCCTGGGGATGGGGCCACCCTGGGTCAGCTCTCCTCCACACTTGGGGTGCCCTGTTGGGATTCCAGGCAGATCCCCAGCCCTCCCCAGGCTTTCCAGCTATACACCCCTTTCTGTGCTGCCCACTCATGCGACCGTGCCCTCCCAGGGCCAGAGGTGTTCACACCTGCCCAGCAGGTGCAGGAAGAGGGTTGGACAGGGACTCTGGGTCTGCCCAGGTAGGGAGGGTGGGGCCCCAGGGGCCCCAGAGCCACACCTTGGTTCTCTCCTTCCCACTGCCCTGCACGTGGCCGGCTGGGGCTGGAGGCAGGCAGGATGTGTGAGCCTCAGCCTAGAAACTTCTCCTCTGCATAGGACGATTCAAATGAGAACAGGAGCACGGAGTGATTCCCCGAGCACAAGCCAGGCTCCAGAGTTACAGGCCACAGGGCACTGCCCTCTGGGGTGAGGGAAAGCCATGTGAGGGCTCAGCAAAAGGAGGAGCCTCTCGCACCTGGTGGGGTGATGGGGGCACCGGTCCTGTGGTGGAGTCCCAGGTCCCCTCCAGGAGAGAGCTCCCCTGTGGGGCTCAGGGCTCCAGGTGCAGGCGTCTGGGACGGCTCCTGCTCTTCTGCTAGCCCAGCTGAGCCCAAGGACCAGGGCCACTGGCCACCATCCATCCTCCACCATCGAGATGGGTGCTTGAGAGATGGGGGTACACCCATGAGCCCTGGGGTGTGCAGGGCAGCTCTCTGATCCCATGGCCTACAGCCAGCCCTGCTCCAGCACTAGCCCCGGGAGAACCTCGTTATCTGGAACCCCAAAGACTCAGAGTTCCAGGATGCCTCCTTTGGCAGCCTAGACACTCCATGGGCATCTGGCCAGAGCCTACCAGCCCCACAGCTCAAGTGGGGACCAGGCGGGGAGTGGTGGGGCTCTGGTGGCAGCCAGCCCGTTTGGGCTGTGTTCCACCGGGAGGGGGCGTGTCTGCCCCAGGAGCAAACTCAAGACTCCTGTTTGCTTTTGGGGCTGGAGCTGCAGGCTGAGAAGGCAAAGAGCAGCAGCCACCCGGCATCCTGCAATCTCGCCCCCAACGCACACCTGCCGTCACTGTCACACGGGCCCGATGCTGACTGGGCTGGCAGTTGCCTTCCTCTCCCTGACCTGGATTACTTACCAGAGCCTGGCCATCCCCCGGATTGCAGAATGTGGCCTCTCCTGTTCTCAGGTGAGCCCCTGCCCGCTCCTAGGTCCCTGTCCCGAGGGCAGGTGGCCTCTCCTGTTCTCAGGTGAGCCCCTGCCCACTCCTAGGTCCCTGTCCCGAGGGCAGGTGGCCTC